GTATATTTCTCAAATTATTTTTACCATGATAATGTGATATGAGAAAATAATAACAATAATAATGCACACTAATTAGTAAGAGTCAGTTACTGGATAATTGAATCATATATTATTTGATCAAACCTTAATTATTGGACTAGGTTTCATTATTATCCCCATTTTACAGGTCAGGAGACTGAGGCTTCAAGAGATTTGACAGGGAATGTGGAACTATTAAGCCCAGGTTGTAGCTAATCACCTGAGTAGTCATCAGTTTGGTTTTCAGATAAATAGATGACAGGCAATGACCTCCCCCCACCCCCCAACCCCATGCACAAATGTTGTGCTCTGGGCCACTAGTACCAGTATATGCTTATTTAACTCACATTGAAAGGTGATTTGGTTAAAGTGTTATTAAATCTATTCAGTGATCAGATATAAACTAGCATAACATCAAAATAAGGAAACCTATAATATAACTGAACTCATTGGAGCTCATGCACAGAGATGAAAACTTTTACAACACAAGTCTGACTCAGGTCCTTTTTTGTGGAGAGATTCCTTAATGTCCCTCACTTTCTCCATCTACAAGGAACTTCCTCTGAGATGAAAGTAGAGCTTCAAAATGGATTCATGTACTCACAAAACCCTCACACAGATAAAAATACAGTTCACTGAGGACTTGCTCATTAGAGCAAGAAGTCAACCGAGTCATTTTAGAAAGAGTTAAAGGAATATCTGTTGAAACAAAACAGTTGTAATACTCTCAGTTACCCAGAATACACTCCCAAACAAAACCTTCTCTTTCCTAGGTTCTACTGTGAACCAGAGAGTGGGAGAGGCAGTACAATGAGGGAAGGAGCTGGATTCTAAGCCAGGCGTCCTGAGTTTGCATACCATCATGCACTACTCACAGCTTCTCCATTTCCTGAAGTGCTAATCGTGGCAGGATAGCAGCATTACACACATCCAGGGATGTTGCTCACATTGCATGTGTGTTAGTGGTGCCTGGAGGAGTACAGTGCACCTACCCCATAGGACTGTTGTGAGGATTATATGAGCTGATCCACATGAGGCACTTAGGCCAGAGTCTGGCACCTAATAAACACTCAATGAGTGTAAAGTATTGTCACAATAGATTTGGTAAGAGAATGGTGAAGAGGAGTAGGAAACAAAGAATAGCAAGAAAAGCAAACAAAAACAGTTACTGTTTTGACTAGATATCTCGAGAGAAGAAAAGAAAGTTGCTAATTGCATCCCTAATCTGATAAGTGTCAATTAATGATAAGCATAGAAAGGAATATGTGCTCCATCATGAGTGATCCATGTTTCCTTCAATACAAAAGTGCAAACCACTAGGGAATCAGAGAGCCTCCTGCTATGAAAAATTAAATGACCAAATAGGGAAGCTATTTTTTTAAGCATAAGCGCAGGAAGTGGCCCATCTGGAATGCCACAACTTGGGGAGGTGAGTGTGACCGTGACAGCTAATGGGGAACGATTTATGACCAGAGCCCATTGCCAGCATATTATTCACCAACTGCTGACAGTCCTAACCCTTGACAGTGAAATGAGTGGGGATGATATCAGTCACTCCCTGTCACTCGAGTTGCAAATCTTCTTGTCGGCAGGAGAAACCTAAAAGGAGAAATGGGAAAGGGAGAAGTCGACAGGTTCAGCATGGCTGGGGGTGCCCCCACAGGAGGTCAGAAAAGTGAAATAAAGACAGCAACATTAATTGAGCCAGCAGTGAAAGTACGCATCAGTACTGCCCATGAACTATACCAGAGGATCTGAAGGGCAAAACCAGGAGAAAAGCAAGGGCTGGTGTGTCAGAAAGAACTGGTTTCAAATCCCAGCTCTACCACTTAATAAATGGCCTTGAGCTAGCTACTTAATATCTCTAAGCCACTATTTACCCATCCATAAAATAAAGATAATAAAAACCCCCCTCAGAGGGCAGAGGTAGAGATTTATTAAGATAATGGATAGGATATGTCTGGCCCAATGTCTGGCAAGTTGAAGACACTCAGTGAACCTTAATCCCCGTTCCCAGCTGCCCTAGGGGTTCACTGCCAAGGGGGGGGGGGAGAAGCTATTAAATAAGTATTTACAAAACAGTGTGCTGAGATGGAACAGGACCTCAGGAGGACACAGAGGGCTCTGCCTAGCCCAGCTTAGAGAAGCAGGAAGCAGCAGAGAAAGAGAGGATCAGGGGAGGATCAAGAGCAGGTGAGTGAGGGCCATTGAGTTGTATTAGCCAGCTGGAAGGACAGAAAACACAAGGCACGTGACACATGTCAAGGCCTGGGGACAAGGGAAGTCACAGGAGTATCCTGGACCTCAGACTTGCCTCAAATTCTGGAAGTCACAGCTCCAAATCCACCTACCCTTCTCTCCTTGACTTTCCCTGGCTGATTTGTCTGTTGGCTAGCCACTGTTAGGAAATAATACCAGATGTTGAGAAACAATACCACTCTCTCTACCATGGATAATGCAGTTTACAGTGACATCTAGAAACAAGGATGAGCCTACGGGACCATGCTCAGGGTCAGCAGACAGGAATGACCAGGCCAATGCTGGGCAGGAAAATCCCCGTGGTTGCAGCTCACTGTGCTGCCGCACCTGAAGGGCCAGCTCCGAACTGCTGCTCTCCTGTCCCTACTCAAACAGCAAAAGGACAAAATAGTAAATGCAGGTGACTCTACAAGTTAACAAGGGAAAGCCAGGTGTCCCTTGCAGTGCCCCGCTTTCGGATGGAGTCGCAGGAAGCGTAGAGAGAACACTGGGAATTAGTGCTCCCTGGAAAGGAAGCTTTCATCCAGACCTCTTGCTCTCATCCTCAACACATTTCCAACAAGGAAGAGATACTTTTAATTGAAAAGAAACTGAGATAGACAACCATTTTTCTTTTTCTTACTGGTGATCAAGGTCACTGTGTTACACCAAACTGCCCAAGTGCCGAGGCAGCACCTTCACTTCCAGCCCCATGTGCTAGCCCCCAGGGCAGGGTCTGCCCCTCTGTGTCTCATTCAGCCACTCCGCATCTTGTTCACCTTCCTAACTCTCTATGTGGTTAATATGCTAAGCGGACATATTCAGGGCCTCTGTCCTAGAAACAGCTCTTCCATCCGTCTCTAACTTCCTTCATGCATCTGCTACAGCCAGAGCAAGAAAAGAGCAAAAGGGGACGCATTCTGGGTCAGAACCACCTTAGCAATGCCTGACTATCTGAGATTCAGAGGAGACCATGGAAGAAGCAAGGACTTCCCTGGTCCACATCATATTCAGCTCTTCTTAGAGCCCTGCACTGGAAATTAGAATAATGTAGCCTAGATAGCAGCAGATAACGTTGCCTCTTCCATTCTTACTGTGGTTACTTGTGTATATCTGTCTCCTACAATAATCCCAGAGGGAGGACAGTTTAGAGAATAAATGAGGCATGAAAGCCTCATTCTGAAATTCCTAATGGTGATAAGGACTGAAATTAGATTTATAAAACACAAGACTAAAGTTAAGAACATAGAAACAAGAAAGCAAATGTAAGGTACGTATTTAAAGAAATTATCTAAAACTCAGAAAGGGGAAATGATGATAAATAATATCTTTGTGATCAATAATAGGATATGTTGATTTTTTATGAATAATCAGTACATGCATCTTAAAAATGTATAATATCCAGGCATACTTAAAGGTTATGCAGAAAATCAATCAATGGATTAATTAACCAATAATTGTTTGGGGAGAGCACCTATTTTGAGATACTGGGATACTGGAGAACACAGAAGTAGTCAATAAGAATGTTTGGATATTTCCTAAATGCAAGGTGCTATCCTAGATCTAAGTAATTCCAAAGAAAAGTCTCTGTCCTGATGTAACAAGGTTACAAAGAAGCTTGTTTAGAAACAAGAGCATTTCCTTTGGAGCCAATAGACCCTCGTTCAAGTCCAAATAGCAATAGTCAATATCTCAAATCCTACTGAACTTTATAGTTTTCTCAACTTAGAAAGGGGATAATGAGACCCACCTTATTGGGCTATTATCAGAATTAAATGAGATAATCTGTATAAAGTTTCTAACATGCCTGGCTTACAATAAAAGTTCAAAACCATGAGATATCTCCCCCTTTTTTCCCTGGGTAGATTAAATTTTATCCTTGAGGAAGTTGATGAATAATGCAGTGAAGAACATGGTGAGGGCCAGAGAAGCAAAGCAGAGAAGTCAGGGCTGCAGAATTTTGAGAATGCTAGTCAATTTGGAGTGGTAAGGAAATAATTCTGCAATGTGGTAGAAATTGAACTAGAATTAAATCAGGAGAGAGGGTGGGAAACTCTGGCTCTTTGGTCCCAACCTCCTTGTGAAAAGGGATAGTTGTCCCGATTTTAGACTGTTAGAAGAAGCAGAGAATTAAAATTATTTACCACTGCTTCTGAGTTAAAGATAATCAAGGATGCGCAATGCCTGCTGGTGATGCATCCTCGCAGAGAGGGAGGAGGAAGAAGAGGAAAAACAGAAAGCAGGAAGACAAAAGAGGGAAATAAAGGGCAGAAAAGAAAAGGAGGAGAACAAGATGAGGGGAGGAAGAAGAGGAGAAAGATTATTAGTTCACAAACATCACAGCTGTGGTTTGAAAGGGAACATCCAAAATGGGGCCCTTAAATTCAGTAGTTTTGTCATCATTGCCACCAGATCGAGATGCTCTGAGAAACACTTTGCTATGATATATGAGCAGGGTGAGGCTGATTAGTTAAACCTATATAATACAGTGCATGAGAACTCAACTCAACAAAGGTGTACCAGTTAATAATGTGGATTTTGTAATCAGAGAAAACACGATAATTTCAAGAGAAACATCAAAAGTGTTTTATTAAAAGTAGCTACACATTTTGCTAGCTACACATTTTCCCCATCTTTCAGGTAATTTGTGGATAGTGTCCCAATAGAACTTTCCTTGTTTGTTTGTTTGTTTTTAAGAGACCCAGTTGTCCACTTCTTCGTACCTCTTGAAGTGCTGCTCAGGAAGTCCGTGTGCCATCGATCGGAACAAGTGGTCATCTGAAGGAGCGAGGGCTGGTGAACACGGCGGGGGGGGTCATACCTCCCAGGCAG